CATTATCTCATAGATAAATAGAATAAAATGAAGAATGAAAATGGTTTATAATCAAAGATTGATGATGGTTAACAATGGAATGTAGGAAGCGTGTTTCGTCCTATTTGAGACTTATCAGCTAAATGTACCTAAATCCAAGAGTTAATGTTCACTCTGGGATTCGAACTCAGTACTGTTCATTTCAAATGTCATCACGTTATCTACTTAGCTATTGAGTCTAGATGACTACTTTCTTGTGTGATGGGATGAAGTTTAGCTGTTACTTCTCATTGATGTTTAGAACTGCAATTGATTAGTCTCTTATTGGCCTATGTACATCCTCAATATTGTCTTAAATTACATGCATTATAAGCAAAGATCGGTAGTGGTTAACAATGGAATCCAGGACAAATTAGCTGAACACACCTGAATCCCAGAGTTGATGTTCACTCCAGGACCCGAACGTAGTTTACTTGGATCAATGCAAACATTTTATATATTTATCAATATCTTATTTGTTGAATTATAGTTTAGGAATGAATAATTTCGTAATCTATATTAAACATTACATAATTAATCATAATCACAATTCACTTGACATAAATGTTGAGGTACTACTACTACTACTACTACCAACACTACTACTACTACCAACACTACTACTACTACTACTACTACTACTACTACTACTACTACTACTACTACTACTACTACTACTACTACTACTACTACTACTACTACTACTACTACTACGACTACTACTACTACTACTACTACTACTACTACTACTACTACTACCAACACTACTACTACTACTACTACTACTACTACTACTACTACTACTACTACTCAGTAATTCTGTTTCAAATTGTCCCTAATATAGTCGATAAGTTATCATCAAGTTTCATTCTATCTGACATTTGTTAACATGATTCATTTTAATGTAATTTCATAGGGAATTATATTCTCCATTAAAACTCAGACCAATATCACAGTTAGATATATTATCATCGAGTAATTTTCTACAGAATGGAAATGTATACACATTAATCAATCAATTATGTTATGTAATTTAGTCAATGTTTCACATTGAATCCTTTTTTAAATGTCTCCTTCGATGAGACTATAAGTTATGGACAAGTCAATCAGATATAAGATAATAGGTTATGGATGCTGGCGCGAAATACATTCATCCATTTGGCTAAATAAAGTTTTGGCATTATAGCTGATTTCAATTTATGATTCAAACCCTGAATCTAATTTCTAACTTTAATCATCAATTGTTTATAACCCTCATTTGGTCGTAGTTGTTGGGTGGACACTCTCAAGGTTAATCTAGAGTCGCTTGAAGGTCATTCCTAACACTTTTGTTATTTGGTTGAATTATTTGTTAGTATATGAACGCGATGATATACACACTCAGTTTATGTCATACGCTTTAAAACGTTTTTGCAGTGAAAATGGCATATCGCATCTACAATCTCCTCTGTACCATCCTCAATCGAATGACCAAGCAGAAAGATCCGTGGATACGATAAAAAGAGCTCTCGTCAAAAGGGGAGGAGAGGGTATCCCAAAACAAGTGATCAGTAAGTTCCTAATGTCTTACAGAGTTACCTCTAATCCGGCAGTACCAGAAGGGAAGTCACCAACCGAGTGTATGTTAGGAAGAAAAATCCGGACAGTTTTTAACAGTATGTTGCCCCCCAGAAAACTCCACCTGTAGCTCTTCTAGAGTTACTGCCGGTCCCAAGCCCGGGTAAAGGAGGAGGGTTGGGCATGGGGTTAGCGTCCCCATCCCGTAGAAAACTAACTCGCTAAAAATGCTAACCAGAAAAAATAATTCAAACCATTTAAACTCTGCCCTGAAAGTAAGAAGGTCTTCATTTAGAAGAGTTATGACGCCTCATGTTGAAAGCCGAGTTTCTTTGGAATTCACGAGGCCGATGCCCCTTCTAACAACCAGAACAACAATTTTTATAGGTAGATGGAACGTCCGGACAATATAAGAAAGAAGACATTACGTCGGGAAATAGAAGCAGGTATTAAAAATATGAATAAGAACTGGAAAATGCTGGAAAGGCTTGCACAGGACAGAGTTGGATGGAGAGTGTTGGTGGGCGGCCTATGCTCCTCCACGAGGAGTATCAGGCGTAAGTAAGTAAGTAAGAAAATTATCGTATTGTTATAAAAGATAATCGATAATTTTCACAAGTATTGAACCTAATTACATAATGGACCAAGTGGATTAACAATTTAGAGAATATTAAAAACCTACTGATTAGTTGGAGTTCAAAAATCAATCAGAAGATTTAAACAACCAATACAAAGATGGAATTGTATTTCATAAAATTTCACAAGCTAGTGGCTATATGAACTCAGTAGTTAAATGAATAACGTGATGGAGTTTGAAGCGAACAGTACTGGGTTGAAGTTCTGGAGTGAACATTAACTGTGTTGTACAGGTACACCTAAATGAAGAGTCCGAAATAGAATGAAACGTGCTTCATAAATTCCATCGCTAGTCACTAGTCATCTCTATTATTGATAAAGTGTTCGAATTTATCAATTATAGAAAGAAATTTAGGTGACAGTCTAATGACTAATGAAATTTACAATTGACTGAACACTAAGTAGTGACCAATTTCATGTGCGTCAAATCCTTTCTGATGTTCACTGAATTATATCAATCAAGTTACAGTATGATGATGATTCAGTACGAGAGATTTGACAAGTGTTTACAAGATATTCAGGAACTGAACGATTGAATGGCTTCAGTAATATTTTTGATAACCAAGCGGTGTTATGCTTGGAGATGCATTTAGAGAGAGAGAGAGAGTTCACTTTGTATGGTCGATATAATCTGCTCTATGAGGGCAAGTGATGTGTCCCAAAGTAGAAACTTATTTTTGATACAACTGAAAATCAAAGGACAACTAGGGAAGATAATTCAAAGTTTGACAGAATACAATGTTTTCTTAAAAGATTTCTGGCACCTATTACTCAAGATCTTAGCCGTTGTACCTCATATAAATTTATTATCTATGGAAAGGATTTTCTTTCATGCTACAGACCTTTTTATCAAATTGGGATTTGTCATAAGGTTTATATCGATAGATCTAGGTGGATAGATACTACTGATTAACATCAGTATTATTTAATCAAGTTTGATTTCAATTATTATATCGGTATAAACGCATCTAACCCTAGAGGATAGAGAGTAAGTCAAACTTCTCTTACTGTTCAGTGGAACCCAACTTTGTGTACTGACTGTCCCAGTTTGGAAGTATCTGTAGAACTCTTAAAGGATTTCGTCCAGTTCGACATTTTACTCGTAAATTATAAATGTCTGTTATATTGACTAAAATTTTCAATCATAAGTTGAAGTACAGTGTTTTCCAAATTGGGTTGCATATTTATTCAAATATGACGAACTATGAAACAAATTCCTGGAATTTTAGTGATGACAACTTGTGAAGTTCAATCACGTCAAAAGTGATGATACCATGAATAGTATTTTCTTTTCTCATTGTTTCACTGCGTTAAACGATCATTATAACTAAGGTATTCAAAGGTATAGTTCTCTTCTTGAAGACTGAAGTCTCTATATTCGATTCTACATAGAATCTTGGCTTTACATTCATGAGAAGACTTAAATTAGAACGAAATAGCTGTTAATGTTCTAATATCTATGATGATTACAAAGCTAACTTTAGTGTATAATCAAATTCAATATAATTTTATGTTTATCATCTTTTAAAAAACCCTACTATGTAACCCAAAAAGTTTCTTTACACACAGTTATGGGCTTAGTAATTTTGATTAACCTAAAAAGTAAAGATTAATACTTCCATGAGTTACACTTTTCAGAACAGAAATTGTCTTATGGTAATATAAACCTTCATCATCTCAATCAAAAACTTAGTATTCTCCACAACCCCCGTGCTGATAATTACCATGTGCTCACTAGTGACTAGCTTCGTGAAAGGATTCTCGGAGTTCTGACGGAGTTATTCCGTGTTGGGTAGAGACATTTATCTACCTCAGACAATGGAAGATGGTCACGAAATTTCATAGATTGGTTGAGGTTATGTTATGTCCCGATAAGCAAAATGAATGTTAACTTTGAGGATCCATTTATGGATCAGTACTATGCGTATATTTGTATCGTATAATTGTTAAGTAGCTAAGCTATGCATATTCATGTCCCTTTTATTATCAGCTTAATTTTGACCTGTGAACTATTATTATACGATTTACCATAGTCGAATTATACCCTGTCTATTAATTACTACCCCCCTCATCCACAGTCACAATTGACTAATTCTTGTACAAATGTTGTTTCCTATTTTATGGTACGATATGGTCTGTTTGGTTTGTATATAAACCGAGTATGTTTGAAATAAATGATTCATATTTCAGAAGCTGAGATTAGTGTTCTGGACTTAACTGGTCAGGCTAAGCAGGAATCAGGACCAATAAAGACTCTTAGTTGCTCGTACATGTCTTATGCATCATTGGTCCAGTCGATAATTCACCGCTCTCCAATTGGCGGTATCGTTACGTTATACGTTAACAGGGCACACAAGCCACAAGTTATAACAGGTTAGACATTACCACCATTGGATGTTAGCTGACTCAATATTCTAGAGGTTAAGCATTCACTTGAAAGACTGAAGGCCATGGTTTCGAATCCCTTTGGCGCAGAATTGTAGATGTAGACTGTTGAAGAATCTTGCAACAGAACGTAAAGCCCTTCAGTGTTTCCAGATTTCCTATTGGTGGTCTAATATCAATCGGTTCATGATCTTAATCATAAACTTAATAATCTCCACAACCCCTTATACTAATCTTTACAGAAAAACTGGAATTCATTCCTCTGTCTATGAATCATATCAATAGAATTCATTAATTAAATTTCTATATTAATTAACTTCTACACTTTCAATTATTCTTTGCCCATTAATTAAATCATACTTATTTCTGATTGGTTGAATTTTACTCATTAATGATTGGTCAATATAAATGAGTCTGTAATATGCATCAACTTCAATGAAATAATTTTGATGAATTGAATAATCAGTTTAATAGAATGAATCATTTCTATCTTATTGGAAATATTGAATTGTATAAGTTCCATTGTGTTCTTTGAGTTGTGTTGTTTCGAATCAAATCTCATAATGATAATGTATTCAATGGATAAATGTAAGTAATAGTTGTTTTCTTAACATTTAATATAAATGTTTGTTTGATTATCATTTCAGTGGTTAAGATTATGATTCAGTTGAAGCTAGACCATCATGGAAAGCCTGAAAGTATTGGAAGGTCGTTTCGTTTTATTGTGGGACCCCTTAGCAGTGCGCATCCACGACCTCGCTTCCTGTGAGATTCGAATCCAGGACGTACTGGTTTCGCCCGCGAGCACTTAACCACTAGACCACTGAGCCGGCCAGCATCCAACGGTGTTAATGTCTAATTTCAACTAATCCATGAAATTCAGCGACACATCCATCATTGTCATCAGTGAGTTACTATCTTACAACAGACCTGGTTGAACTCCACTTGTCACTACTTCTCACTAGAACTCTAGGATATCCCTCTTGAAGACAGTCACTAGTGAGCATATGTTGATTAATATCAGATCTCGCTTTGGGCGAGGTCGTGGATGCGCACTGCTGAGGAGTCCCACAATAGGACGAAACGGCCGTCCAGTGTATCCAGGTTTTCCATGGTGGTCTAGCTTAAACTGATTCATGATCTTAACCATTGAAATTACTATAATCTCCACAAAACCCATCTGATTATAATTTGTTTACAATTGAATAGTTACTGGGTAATGATCAATGTTATGTATGTTAGGTCTTTCTTAGTGTAGATCGAATCCTATAAAATTGCCTAATAATTAGTAAACTTTATTATTTTGAATACTTCAAAAGTGATACAGGAAATGATTACAAAATCTATAGGAGTTGTTTTTTAAAGAAGGTCTAATAATTTTAAACAACTGAATCAAATGATCACAGTCAACATTACTTAACTTTAGTTAGTTCATTGCAAAATGTAACAATCAACTAGTTTCATTGATGGTATTTGTTTTATACTTTTGTCTGGTACTCTATCGTTTACAACAATTCTCCAATTTATCTCATTATGTATATAAAACCATCTTTTAAATGAACTTACTTACTTACGTCTGTTACTTCCAATTGAGCATAGACCATCGACCAGTATTCTAAAACCCACTCCATCCTGGCAATTTCTTTCTAGTTCGATACATTGGCTGTTCATTCTTTTCATATCTGTCTCCATTTCTCGACCTAATGTGTTCTTTAGTCTTCCAGTTCTCCTTCGACATTGAGGATTACAAATGATGGTTTGCCTTGTGACGTAGTTGAGTGCACTCCTCAATATGTGTCCTATCCACTTCCTACGTTTCTTCCTCATTTCTTCCTTCACTGGGATCTAGTTTTTTCTCTCCTACAGTAGGTTGTTGCTGATAGTGTCTGGCCAATGTATTTGATGTATTTAGCGTAGACAACTGTTGATAAACACATGTATCTTGTGGATGATGGCTCTAAAACCCTGGGTCTAAGGTTTCTTATCGACTATCTCTCTAACCACCATCTTATCTCAATATAGTACACACAATTTCGAGTCACCTAGACTAGTGGTCACATTACAACTTGATCGATAGGATAAGATTTGTACTAAGAAAGACATGACATACTTGACATTGATCATCATCTAGTAGTCAGTCAATTTTAATGTAAGCAAATTAACATCTCTTGTAATATACTTGACGATTAGATGAATAGAGGACTTTCTGTAGAATGTTTTCAATGATCTAACATTCAAACAGAAGCTTTAGTTTTTTATTCTTCTACAACTTTGAACTACATATCCATGAAAGTTTAAAATATATCTCAACAGACTATTTATTTTGTATTTGTTATCACTTGTGCTCTGTGTCCTATTAATATACCGCCAATTAGAGCACAATGACGCATGAAACCCATACGACCAGTTTATAGTGTTTATCGGTCCTAGTTCATGCCTAGCTCTACCTGTTACAGTCCAGAACACCAATTTCAGTCTCCGCAATATGAATCATTTATTTCACACATTCTGTTGATATATACCAACCAAACAGACCACATCATACCATAAAATAGGAAACAACATTTATACAAGAATTGGCCAGATGTGACTTTGAATGTGGGAGATAGTAATTAATAGACTGGGTATAACTCAACAATGGTAAATCGTATAGTAATAGTTCATAGGTCAAAATAAAGCTTATGTTGAGAGGAACATGAATATGAATAGTTTAGTTGCTCAACAATTCCACAATAAAAAATATATGTGTATAGTATTAGTACAGAAATAGATTCCACTAGTTACTATTCATTATTCGTATCGAGATATAACAGTAATCTAACTTAATCAGGAACATGAGATGAGATGAATAAAATATGAGGAAAGAATATGTACAGATTATGTTAAATAGTCACGGTTACTTAGACCGAAATAATATTTGGCTTATGTAAATAACACCTATAATTCAGATTTTATTTAAATCGAAATGCGCACTGCTGAGGAGTCCCATAATAGGACGAAACAGCCGTTCAATGCTTCCAGGTTTTCCATGGTGGTCTAACTTCAACTGACTCATGATTCCAACCATTGAAAAGTCATAACAGTATGGTTAGAAGTTATAATCCAATGGATGAAATCTTAGTCTCCGAACTACTTCAATCTTAATATTGTATACAATTTACTTAAAAAGTATAAAGAATAACGGGAAATTATTGATAATATTAAGCATAAACTACTTAGATCAAGCGTTATTAATGGGGTATATTGTTTACGTTACGATTACGTCTCTAGAGTCCTAACTGCAAAATAATCTACATTTGATAATTATCAGTACTTGAGAATAATGAATAGGCAGTAATATATAGATAGTTATACATGGTAATTCACTACAAGTCATTGTTATGTTATTGACTTTAGAAATTCATTTGAATGAAGAATATTATTTATGTATTAAATTGATCATTCTCAACAATAATCAATCGTATTCAAGATGGTGGATACACACTGCGAAGGAGTCTCAGTTGTCCTAGTACTTCTACGTATTCAATAGTGATCTAGTTTACATCTGTAGTGAACTGGAATACAAATTGAGATAATCGAATGTATTCAAATACATGATTATAAAAACTCTTAGTCAAATCTGAGAAGTATACAGTTAATAATTCATTTGCAAAATGTCAATCAATGGTTTCAGATTTGACGGTACTTTTGTTTTCACACCAATCATGCTCTGTTGTCGTTCTCTTTACTTCAATTTTGTTAACCTTCTGCCACGAGGCATTTCAATTTCTATTGATGATACACACTACTTATATCTGTTGATGTGAGTAGCATACACTAAACAATGACTCATGAATCCAACTATTAAAATCACTACAATCTTCACAAACCCCCCATTCTAATAATAATCAAAGAGGCAAATGTAAAAATTAATGTTAATTTTACAGAAATAAGCTAAAAAGTAACCGGAGTCCAATACTAGGATAAAACGGCCATCCAGTGCTTCCAGGTTTTCCATGATAGTCTAGCTTCAATAGACTCATGAATTCAACTATTAAAATTACTATAATATCCAGAAAATTTCTCTCCGATTATAATCATCATATGCTCACTAGTGACTGGCTTCAAGAGGTATTTCATGAAGTTCTAGTGAGAAGCCGTAACCAGTGGACTTCAACTGTGTCTGTTGTGAGATATTAACTCATTGTTAACAATAGTGGATGGTACCGCACTTAAGTGGATTAGTTGAAGTTCGACACTAACAACTTTGGATGCTAGCCGGCTGATTAGTCTGTCGGTTAATCGTTCGCGCACAAGACTGATAGGTTCTGGGTTCGAATCTTTTGAAGCGTGATCATGTATGCGTATTGTTGAGGAGACCCATACTAGGATGAAACGGCCGTCTAGTAATTCCAGGTTTTCCATGATAATCTAACTTCAATTGACTGATGAATTCAACTATGAAAACTAATATCAAAAGGGGTTTTGTGGAGATTACAGTAATTTCAATAGTTGAAGTTATGAGTAAATTGAACCTAGACCACCATGGATATTGTGAGACTCCTCAGCAGTACACATTCACGACCTCGACCAGCGGGATTCGAAACCAGAATTTATCAGTCTCGCACATGAGTGCTTAACCACTAGACCACTGTGCTGGCATATATTAAAAATAACGAAAAATCGATATACATTTTTCAAAGGTCAGGGTTATAATATATAATAATGTAAATAGGATACTTGTAGGTAACAAATAAACAGTATTGTACTGTTTAAACATCAACAAAACTGTAACAATAAACATGATGTATCCGTTTTAATAGCACTTTTTGTGTGTGTATTTTATTGATTGGTGAAAAAATTAACATACACATAGTTTATTCAAAGTATACTCATTTCAACCTGTACAGTAACAACAATGATTGTCATAACAACTCAATTGCTGTCTCAAATTTGAACTTAACACAGAGAATAAGCTTGAATGTTTTCGGTGAGTTTCTGTTTGGAGCCCCTTTGGGGCTCAATGCCGGTCCCAAGCCCGAATAAAAGAGGAGGGTTGGGTATGGGGTTTGGTACCCCATCGCACTGTAAACTAACTCGCTAAAAAAACACTAACACAGAGAATAGTTTCCGAAAAATATTATAGATATGATGTTCTAATGTAAATATTGACAAAAATACCTAAGAATGTAAAAATCGATCATTTACTCTTAATGATTCCCTGGCCTTAAATTAACCAACACAAATGGAAGTTTTGTTTTAACTAGAGCTTATATTCTGATATGACGCGTATAACTTGAGCACAGGTTTCATGATTTTCAGAAGAGAATGAAATATAATGCTTAATACAAATACAGTGTACAATCTTTGAACTGAAATAAATTTGAAGTTTCACATTATAAACTGACTTTAGTTAGACTGTCGTTAAAAACTAAAAATCACCGAACATCTGTCTTATTCATATATATGATTCCTCAGTGATCCCCCATATACGACCCAATCATGAGTTGGATTTAGAATTTTCAGTTCTCATACCGAGCATATTTTTTTTACCAATGAATTGGTATTCAATAGTTTACATTTCTAACTTCAGTGAGTTCGGGCAGTTA